TCAGAAATTGGAGACGTAAAAAATAAGATAAAACAGATAGAGTGTAAGGTATGAAGGAAAGGCAAAATGACGCATGAGTTAAAAAGGCAATTTGTGAATAAATGTAGACGGCATCAAGATTAGCAAACGCAGTAAAGATTGCGAATTGACTAGTGACTAATTAAAATCCATTCAAGCTAGAAATTAAGGCCAAATGATGGTCTTTAAAGGAAAACAACATACATCAGAATTTTATGAGAAAGGAATGGACGGACCAAAATGATAACCAGATTCAATCAGTCATCTACATAGGACCTTTACACTTAAAAATAGGATCAATTGCCATAACAACGCGAAAAGAAATAAGACGGGATAATATCTAGACAAGATAGGAATGCAAATTGAAATTTATCAAAGTGAAGAAAAGTACTTTTTGAGGAAGTTAGCAAATTCTTATTGGTACATTTCAATAAGTGAATATACTCGATATCATATAAACAAAGCTCTGAAGCGATATGTAAAAATGTGTGAGGATAGACATCTGTTAACAGACTAAGTAAATGCTCTACTTCGAAATGAAGAAAATAGTGAAGCATTTAGGACTTGATACAGACAAATATATCAATGGATCAAGCAGAAAATATAAGGTAAAAGATAATTTTGCCGAGCTAGTCGATGCTCTTGTGAAAACATACTCAGATGGCATAATAAGCCGTCGAAAACAAGTAATAACGTGCGAAGAGAGACATCCGCTTAGTACTTCGATATATTAAAATAATAAAGTCTGTTAAGACATTAAGGAATAGGGGTAGAAGCTCGGGCCAAAATAGTAAGATGAAACAATACCCATAGAAACGGTGATGATATGCCAATTGAAAAAATATCAGAAAGATATTAGGCAAGTAGGTGGAATAAAAGAACGATGAAAGTAATTAAGATACGAACCAAGAAGTCGAAATGGGGAGAACGCGATTCAAAAGTAAAAGGATTAAGACGTGAAGGTAAGGAATAAACAAATATGTATAATATAAAAGTTACAAATAAGAAAAGATATAGGTAGCGGTCAAGAAAAATATCTGGTCGGAAAAGCATCAGCTATCTGGCTGAGGACAAGAATGAACAAGACGATTGTGCAAAGCAACCACTTTAAGAGTCAACTCGGATAGCCGGTCCAGACCCTGCTGCAACTTCCGCTCTATATGCAGCCTACTATGATCCTCTGAGGCAGAGATTAGCGTATGACTGGGGGCTTCTAAACCTAGGTCTGATAGTTGAGATAAAGCAGACTGAGTGAGAGTGTGGCAAGCATCGCCAGCAGACACTTTGCAGGATGAGGCAAAAGAAAACTGGGCGATCAAATTCAGATAAGCGATGTTGTAATTTAGGTGGGTGATGAAGAGGATTAGAGAGACCACGCTGTAAATACAAGATATAAAAAGTGCAGATTAAACAGAGCTGTCAAAAGCGCCTATTTAGTTGCGCAATTGCATTGTCGTTAGATGTAAATATTTAACAGGTAAAGAAGATAAATTATCAATCAATCAGCTTCGAAAAAGGTAGAAATTTTAAAGAGGAAACAGTAGGAACTGGGAGTAAATTTCGATGCCTAACATCAGTTAATTTATGCTCTATAGCTTTATTGGATAAAGATAGAATCTAACAAATAAAGGACCAAGATAGATAATAAAAAAACAATAAGATGTATGAGTTCAGAGATAGTACGATTGTGACTTCATAAATCAATTCCTGTGTGAACAAGCTGTTAAAAGGAAAATATGAAGCCATAATACAAGGATAACTATTTTATCGAAAGTATGAATACCAAGGTGATATGGCCTTTTGTGTGATCGCAGGCTTTCGTTGTATAGAAGTTGCTTGAGATTGTTTTCGCAACCTGGTCATATTGGTAGGAAGACTTAGAGGAACGCATCTAGTCCATTGTATGTATGATAATTTCCAGTCGGACATTGGACATCGTACATTCCCAAACGTCGAGCCGGCATCGTCAGTTAGTCTTGCCAGCCTTATCACCACACTAGAACTCGTCAGAGACAAGTGAAGCCGATCCTTTGACCAATTGTCTGCTAAACAATCGTGGTATCTCTCCTTCCATCTTGGCTAATCACCAATCCTATATGCTCGATCACCCTTTCAGTATCACAATTTTTACTTGCTTATTTCAATGTGGTATGGTGCGCTCTTTTATTGGGCTTTCATGAGAACTCTCCACACTCCACGTTTGTTTTCTCACCTTCTAGCCCTTGTGCTGGGAATGTTGATCAGAGTCTGCCCTATTGGTACACTGTCCTCCTTCCATACTTCTTTATCAGTCTCCCTATTGCCCCGTAGGATCCGTCTGCTATGTCCCTGGCTCAAGTAGTTCACTCGACCCCTGCCACTCCATCTGTGCTACTCGATGTGTCATGTCATAGACTCTGCGACTGGGAAACGAACTCGAGGTTAAAGCCCCTGAGAAATTATCATGGTCAAGCCATTCCGTCATGGACCATGTCTATGGTAAAAACAGGCCTACTGTCATCCAACTAGCTCTAATCTCCGCCGCATCTATCGTGCTTTTATCTATAGTACCAAGTTTATGACTTCCTATGCCCTAGTCTCTTGTGTGCTAACCTACGAATGTTGTGGTTTAACATTGAACCTAATCAAAGCAAGTAGTAGCAAAACATTTTTGGGTTGGCACACAAGAGATTAGGGCATAGGAAGTGATAGACTTGGTATTAGGAATAGAAAAAGGATAGACGCGGCGAATACCAGACCTAGTTGGCTGACAGTAGACCTGTTTTTACCATAGAAGTGGTCCATGTAGCAAAGGCTTACCATGATAATTAGGCAGGGGCTTTAGCCGCAAGTTTGTAACCCAGAGACAGTGGGGGTTGGGCTGGCTTAGGTCGAGTGAAATACTTAAACCAGACAAATAGCAGACGCATGCTACGGAGCAAGAGGGAGATTCTGATAAGACCTATGGAAAAAGGACAACGTAACAATAGGACAGACTATGATCAACATTCCCAGCACAAGAGTGAGAGGGTGAGAAAGCAATCATAGAGTGTGGAGAGTTCTCATGAAAGCCGCTCAAAGGAGCACACCATACCACAATTAAATAAGCAAGCGAAGGCGTAATAAGAGGATATAAAATTAGTGATTAGCCAAATGGGGAAGGAGAGATACCACGATTGTTTAGCAGACAATTGGCCAAATGATCGGCTCCACTTGTCTCTTTGGCGAGTTGTAATGTGGTGCTAAGAGTGACAAGACTTACTAACGATGCCGACTACGAGGCCGGCGAAACGTCTGGGAATGTACCACGTCCACTGTCCGACTCTGGAAATTATCATGAATACAATGGACTCCGAACTACGTGCATTCCTCTAGGTTTTCCTACCAATATGATCAAGGTGCTAAAACAAGGCCAAGCAGCTTCCATAACTTTTTTATCCTAAAGGCTAAATCCACATATGAAGTTCTTTCGCCATTAAACTGTTGTTTATAATATAAAACATTTCTAAACCTAGAATTGCTCCTATGTATCATTGCTTATATGCAAACGTATTAGAATGGCTAAGCCAATTTAAGAAGTGGGTTGACCTCGTCGCAACTTGGTCTTGTTGTCAGGGGGACTTAGTAGAACACACCTTGTCCGAAGTCGATTGTCATAGTAATTGTCATGATTACCAACATCTGACAGTGGACTTGATACATTATCAAAGTTTCGTCGGCATCGTAGTGGGAATCATCAGTGAGCTTTGCCATTCTCCGCACCAAGATACGAACTCGTCAAAGAGACAAGTGAAGTCAATCCCTCGACAACGGTTACACTATCACTCCTCTTTTTGTCCTGGTCTATCTATCTACTCTTTACACTCTTATCCCACTGCCGCCCAATCACAACTTCTCACTTGTTTACATTCCACTCGCCAAAATGTGTGCTCTTTTGTAGCAAATCTATTGTGGCCTCATTACAATTGCAATTCACCCGACCCCCTCTCTTTCGATCGGCTGATCCGACTCGGGCCTCCTTTCCGGATCCCCTCATTGTCTCGTAGATCCATTCCTTATCTTTCTGGTTGATTGATTTCACTCGGTTCCAGTCCCACTATGCATTTCATATCAGGCACTATTTCTCAAGGCCCTAAAAGTAGGTACACCGCCGCTTCACTAAGCAGAGCCCACGGGTCGTTTCCCTGATTAAACCACTTTATCTGAGCAAACTGTGGACGCCTATTCCTGGTCACCTGAAGTATCCCAAGTGGGGTTTTAGCTCATTTTGTCATAATACCGAACTTATGTGAAGGCTTTGCTTAGCCGTATGCCTAGTACCCTGACTACCAGGTTCCCAAAGTTGTACTGGTTTATTCGAAACGGACATCACCCACTGGCAACGTCTTCGCTTCATTACCGAAAACCCCTGTACTTCACTTTCTTCATCGCGATCCTTTTTCCTCCGGTTAGCGATAGATCCTTGATCCAATCGTCTCCTTTTTGCTGGTATTGCTCTATTTTTGTTTTCCCCGAATTTGCTTAAGCAGTATCGCTAACTCTACCTTCCTCCAATCTCCTGTTCATTAGATTTTTGTCCCCAAGGATGTCAAAGGCCTCACTTATCTTCCGCTTCCTTGTGTTGTCACCGTATGGATCCATTCTTTCTGTTGCCTTCCAATTGATCTTGTGCCCAGTCTGTGCGATGTTTTCCGCTAGTATTGATCTTTCGGTATCCATTTTCCTGCAGAGCCTCTGATGTTCCTTGAACCGTGTGTTAATTTTTCTCCCTATTTCGCCAATATATTCCTGTTCATATGCGCCGCATGATATACAATAAACTCCTGAATAATCCAATTTATCTACCCTTTCGTGTTGAGTCGGTAGACTTGTGAAAAGTGTTAATTTTTCTTCCATGGCCACCTGAATATTCCATTTCCTCAATATTGACCGTAGTTTTTGAGTTAGTTCGCAGGAAGGTAGGCAAATCCACTTTTGTGATTCCTTCATCGTCCTCGTTCTGCCATCAGCTTTTCACGGCCCGTATATTTTTTTGTATCACTTCGCCAGGGTAGCCATTGCCGAGGAATATCCACGTCAATTTGACCCAGAATTCTACATCCGTTAGGCGTAAGTTTCGGATGCGACCATACCAGAGGCCAAAACCTCTTGGCATTCACATCTTCAATTAAACCAATTTAAGTTAATAATGCACTACTATCGGTGTGGCCTTTTGTATGGTCGCAGTCT